GGGACGTGAGGGTGGCCAGACCGGGGTGCGCGCGGCGGGGCGGAGCTGGTGGGAGGGAGGTGCCGCCGGGAGACAAAGGCACGGCCGGCGGCCTCAGGCGGTGGCAGGTGACAGTCCGGCTCGGAGAGACAGCGCGGCGGCCGGCGGGGTGACCGGGCAGCGGCCGGCGGGGTGGCCGGGCGGCGGCCGGAGCGGCGGGGTGCCCGGGCGGCGGCCGGCGGGGTGACCGGGCGGCGGCCGGCGGGGCGGGGGGGGGGGGGGGGCGGGCGGCGGCGGGCGGGTCGTGGCAACCAGGCAGGACAGCCAGCGGTAGCGTCAGGTGTGACGGTGGGCTGTCGGTGGCGGCATGACAGCGGTGACGACGAACGTAGCGGGCGTGACGGTTGGGTATGTCAGCGGCGGCGTGACATGTTGACTAGGCGAGGTGACGGGCGAGGCAGGGGCGGCGGCAGCAAGACCGAGGTCTGTCGGCGGCGTGACGGTGTTATGACAGACGGACAGTCCGTGTGACAGAAGAGGTAGTCAGCAGCGGCTTGACCACGTATGACAGACGGGACAGACCGTGCAACGGGCGAGATAGTTGATTGTCAGCGGCGGCGTGACAGCGTATAAGACGGCACAGTCCGGGCGACTGACGATAGATGCCATGTCAGCGGCGGCGTGACGGCATAATAGCAGACGGGAAATCTCACCGGCGACGGTGAGATGGGCGTTAGTAGGGCATGGCGGACTGGCCGTTCGAGAAACTCGAGAAATGATATAAGCATGGCGGGATGTCAGCTGCGGCGTGACGGCGCGGGACGTGTCGGCGGTGAAAGACAAGCAAAGGAGCAGTAATCGCCACGTGATCGCCACGGCAGTAACCGACACGCAAATGGAACGTGGACCGCTCTGAAATGCTCAACACAACAATACGAGGGGGGGCGGTACGCCGGCACGGAGCGCCCGCGGGCCTAAGATTGCTGGTAGTGGCGTCGCTTGTGACAGCCTGGACACAATGGGGAGACGCCAGCAAGCAAAGGCGTGACTTACCGGATGCCCTTCCGCGTGTGGAGCGTCCCATCTTCGGGAGATGATCGCAGCGGCTTGAGCGCGCACGCACGAAAACATGAGCGGCCGCCGTGTGGCGTGCCACCCACGCACTGAGGGCGCCCGGCGCAGTGTCCTCGCCAGGCCGGGCGGGCTGTGTTTGCTTACCCGACCGCTGGCGCTTGTCTAGCCTCCAATTGGCGCCCGCACCCTCTGTGGCCGGCTCCCTCATATGCCGGGCACCTCCAGGAAAACGGGGGGCCGGCTGCACCTCTGACGCCAAGCGTTAATGTATTTTGCACGGAACTGACGTGAAAAGACCATTAATCTAAGGAAAGACTACGCTCGCTTCGCTCGCTCCGTAATAACTTCATTAATGTTTTGCATCTATTCCACTCTTGATGTCAAAGGTCATGGTTTAGAGGGTTGATTTAAATGGAATAAAAGCGAAGCTGAAGAACTGCCGATATTACCAAAATGAATAAACGTGCATACATAGGTAGCAAGGAAGCTACAGTTTCTAAAAACCTGAATTCGCTGAGCAGTGAGCACCTTTATTATCTGCAAATCGCTCTTTGCGAATTCTTCTGGCGGCAAAGGTCAAGCTCCGATCAGTCTGTCCCGGCTCCTGGCTCTGGTCGGTCGGTTCGGTCCCGACCCACAGGTCTGGTGATTGGCTCCATTTGGTCTGTCCCGACGTTTGTTTTTCTTTTGTCTGCCTCGACCCCTGTCTGTTCGGTTTGTCCCGGCCCCGTCCCGTTCAGTCTTCCACGGGCCACAGCGTGACTCTGTTCGGTGTGTCCTGCAGTCCCTGGCCTCATTCGGTCTGTCACGGACCCTGTCTCTGTTCAGTTTGCACTGAACCGTGGCTTCGTTCGTCTTCCCCAGCCTCTGCTGCTGGCTCCGTTCGTCTCCCCAGGCCTGGCTCCGTTTGTCTGTCCCAGTCCCTGGCTCCGTTCAGTCTGTCCCAGCCCCTGGCTCCGTTCGCTCTGTACCGGCCTCTGGCTCCGTTCGGTCTATACCAGCCTCTGGCTCCGTTCGTCTCCCCAGCCTGTGGTTTCGTTCGGTCTGTATCGCACCAAGGGTCGTGTCGGCAGTGACACTGACAGAGACGGAATGTCCTCGACTACCGAGAGCGGACCTTCGACCCTGCCAAACTTTGTTGGCGACCGATCCACGCTAAAAGACGACGAGTGAAAATGGTCGCACACTGGTGCATACTGCATACAGCATAAAAGTTGAACCTAGCTACCTCGAAAGTGGCACGGGTACCTAATAATTTTACATTGGAGCTCGCAGCAAGCTTCTGTAAATGTGTGAACACACATTTACAGAGTCCGCTACATAGTGCACAGAGTGCACGAGTCCGCTACGTAGGAAGTTGAACAGGGTTCTATAGAATTTGACGTCTACTTATTTCTTATTTTGACGTGCCGTGTGCAAGCTACGGGGGAGGCAGGGGTTATTTATCGCAATGGCTGTTTGGCTGTGGGTCAGCTTTCTTAGTCACACATGCTAAAAGCTGGCTTCAAATTATCTCGTAGACATTTTTTACGAAAACTTATTATATTTTACATTAACATCTTCAAATTATAGAACGGTAACTGCGGAAAGCTAATAGACAGACAGCTACAACATTGATAATATCAATTCCAGTGATCCATCGTATCCAGGAATAATTGCTGCGTTTTTTTTAAAATAAATATTTGTAATGCCCGCGTTGAAAGTTGGCATAATTTACTGGAAAAGCAACAGCCTAAAACATTGCAACATAAACGTTGCGCTGAAACCATGCTAATTTCTAAACAGCCCACCTTTCTTCGGGACCATTTATGTAACTAAGTCCCTGGCATTGGCCATGGCTGCTGAGCGGTGGAGAGGGAGGAGTGACAGAGGACGCCGCCTCGGCTGCGTTGTGCCGGGTGTGCGCCGAGGAGCGGCGGCTGGCAGCTGAGCAGCCCGGCCCGCGCCGAGCTGGCAGTCGGCCGCCGCAGGCCGCCCGCCGCTGGTCAGGTATTTGGCCGGCGCAGCGGTGCCGGTCCGCGGCCGACGCGGCCAGTCGGCGCGGCGACATACGGACTGCGGTCTAAACGATGACCAGGGGCGATAAACAGCGCCCAGAGGCGATACATGAGGACCTCTCTGAATATAATGGAAAGGGTAATTAACCAATAGGTCATGCCATGCTGCAGACCAGACTCCTGTTATGAGACGATAAAACATGATTAAACTGAATTTACTCATGCTATGATTTGGAAGCTGGACGTACACTAAATACCATGATTCCTTTTGGTTTTTCCCGTTACAACGGAAAGCGACCTATTCCAGGTGACAGGAAGTATAAATAACCCATTGGTCACGGTCTTCCTCGTACTGGATCAGTGCATGAATGAGTCACTTAACCTTCCAGGCGGTGGGGGGGGGGGGGGGCATTTTTTTGCCCCCCCTTTAGTTTTTTCGATATATCTCGAGAACCGCTGCGCCGATCGTCACCAAACTTTCAGTACCCTCCCGGGAGCAGCTAGCGCACATGGTGACCAAAAATTTTTCCAAACTCTATGATAGGTTGGCCGCTAATGACGTCAGAGTGACGTCATTTTTGCCATTTTCGACAAAAAAAAAGGTTCCGCGGGAAGAGCTGTCAGTTCTACAGCTTTAGAGATACAGAAAAATGTTTCAGACATAAAAGGTGTGAAATCAAAAGGGGTACAAAATTGCTATTTCGGTTTTTCGAATTTTTTGGATTTTGACCCCCAAAAATCAAAAAATAGATTTTTTGAAAATAATAGCCGAAAAATCCAAAAAGTTTTTTGAATTTCGAAAAAAACCGGAATATATGTGATAGCCCCTACCACCTTCTATCTACATACCAAATTTGAGATCGATACCTCTTTTTTTGGCCAAGTTATAGCGAAAAAAACTGTTCAAAATTGATGACGTCAAATTTTCAAACTCAATTTTTAGCAATTCTAGACCTCGTAGCGCAAAACAAAGACCACCATTAGACTCCCCGTGACGAGCTGCATCGAATCAATACCCATTTAATGCAAAAATACCAACTTTGAAATTTGACCTTTTTTGACCTGACCTTGACCTGACCTCCACCAGAAAGTGACCTAAATCGTACCTGATGGTCTTATAACCAACACCATTGAGTTGGAAATGAAAAACTGGCCATAAAACATGCATCGCATAACCTTAGTAAAGTTGGGCTCATGTGGTGACCCTTGGTGACCTTTGGTGACCTGACCTGTGACCTGACCTGGTATGAGCAGTGACCTCTAATAGCAACATATGTACTAGACAACTGACGCCTTATCGCTGATTTTCGACAAAATGCGTTTTACTCGGTGTTATAGCGCTTTCCCTAGAAGCCCCGTGAACGGTGAAACATTTTATCTTTGACCTGACCTGTGACGTCATCGGTGACCCCGAGGTCAATGAAATTTGGTTTCCTTCGACAAATTTGACAGGGCTATCGAACGCCGTTTGAATTTTCCGGATCCGTCCAGTAGTTTCGGAGATACGGGGGGGGGGCAAAAAAGTGCCCCCCCCCCCCACCGCGCGGAAGGTGGCTGGTAGGCCCACCGCCTGCCGGGTTAACGAGGGCTTGGCCCGCCAGACCGTCCAGAAATAGCCTATGAATGCATCTTAGAACAACGCGAACAAAGCTTTACTATAAAAATAATTTTGAAAATATATAGTAGTGAACGCGATGACACCTTCAAATTAACCAGTATGTTTGTGTCTGTTGCTTTAGTGAGGCGTATTTAGGAAGGCGTTGTTTTGGTAGGCCCTCTACTAGCCACATTCTGTACCACACCCGAACGGTCAACAGACGGCACGTGCCGTTTCCTGGAGGTCCCCGAGTGCACGTTCCATCTCTAAAGGTCTCAGAGCTCATATGACTCATTGGCTTCTGACCACACCATCGTGAGACTATCTTGACGCCGTCCGTGTCTCCGTTCCAGAAACATTCCACTCCGTGGGCGGCGCCCGACGAGCTGCCCCAGCTGTGTCACCAGCTGGTGCCGGCCCACGATTTCATCAGCGCCGCGGTCACCGGTGTGGTCGCCCGGTGTCTGACCTTGCGGATGGCCGAGTTGACCTCCGCCAAGGCCGCCGCCGCCGCCACCGACGACGACGACAAAGGCACAGACGGCGGCGGAGAGTCGGCCGATACTGCGCCGCCGCGGTCCGGTCCAACGGCGCAGACGCCGGGCGGCCACGGCTGCTACTCGGTGACGCCAGAGGGTCCGACAGCGTCAGCCGGTCTGGTGACGACAGAGGGGCGCCCGACACGTGACGGTGAGTCGGCAGAGGCCCGGGGGAGCTCCCAAGACGCCGCGCTGGCAGCCGCCGCCGGGGTTCAGACGGAGGGCACAGCCGGGCCGCCGGCTCCGCCGCTGGTCTCTGTGGAGACTCAGACAGCAGCAGACACTCTGTCGGAGCAGCTGGCGCAGATGGCGGAGGAGAGGGAGGAGCAGGCGCGGCTGGTACATCACCAGACCGAGCTGCTGGCGCAGCTGCACAACCAGCTGGCGCGCTCAGCTGCCGAGAACGAGCGGCTGCAGCGGCACCTGCAGCTGGTGAACGCGCTGTTCGAACAGCTGCAACGCAAGGAGGCCGAGAGCGCCGCCGAGGGCGCACAGAGCCCGCCCCGGGACGACGCTGACGAGATGGACGGAGCGGAGGAGGACGGCGGCGGCGGTGGCGGCGGAGCTGACCTGGTGGAGAGGGTAGACACGGCGCACGGCCGCCGAATGGTGATCCACGTCAGTCGCACCTACCTGCGGCTGCGAGACCTCATCCTGGAGAAGCGCTCGCTGCTCAGCGAGATCGACAAGCTGCGCGGCTTCAACCAGCAGCTGGAGCGCCGGCTCACCAAACAGGAGCGCCGCCTGTCGAACGTCGCCGCCGAACTGCACAGCACCTGGGGGCTGGTCACCAAGCTGAAAATCCAGCACGCTCAGCTGCACACGGCCGAGTCAGTGCTGCGCTACGAGCTGCGCGAGAAACGCAAACTCATGAGCCGGCTGCGGGGCGAGCTGGAGGGCTCTCGGCAGCGGTCTGTGCTCGCCAGCCAGCTGAACGCCGAGTCGGAGCTGGAGTGGCGTGCGCTGCGCAGGGAGCTGGACCAGAGGAAGAGGGAGAGGCTGGTGAGGCAGGCCCGGATGGACAGTGCGGAGACGGGGAGCGAGCCGGCGGCCGCTGGGGAGGACGGGGAGTGCCTGCCCGGAGTCGGGCCCCTGCTGGAGCGGAGCGCCACAGACGACAGTCAGCAGGACGGAGAGTCCACAGAGTCTCTGGCCGAGCAGGAGGCAGCCGGCCTGGACACCTCCGTGGCCGAGTCAGAGTCGACCGAGTCCGAGTCGGCCGGGCGCAGGACGCCCGAGCCACAGCCGACCGACTCGGTGGACTCGGCGGCGGGCGCGGCTGGCCCGGTCGAGACCAGCTCGCAGCGGCGGCGCCGGCTGGTCAGCCTCGAGGACCAGTGCCAGCAGCTCTACACGCGGCTGGTGTCGACCACGGCCCGCCAGGTGGCGCTCAGCTCACGGCTGGCCGAGCTGCACGCCCAGCACGGCGCCAGCGAGGCCGAGACCACGCCCGAGACGTCGGTGGCCAGCAGCGAGGACACGGCCTATGCCAGCCTGGCCGACACGCCGCCCACTCCCACCGAGGCCGAGCAGCTGCCCGCCGACCGGCCGGCCGCCGCGCCGCCGCTGGCCGCCGTAGCCGCCGTCACCGCCGTCACCGCCGAGGCCATGCCGCCGGTGACAGTGGCGGCGCAGCGCGTGGCGGTGCAGACGGACGCCGGTCCGCGCTCGCTGCCGCCGCTGCCGGCCTCGCAGCTGGCCACCGAGACGGCGCACCGGGCCGGCGGCGCCCGGGCGCTCGTCTCCGCCGTGGTGGCGCTGAGAGAGACGCCGCCGGACGCGGCAGGGAGGGCGGCAGCCGGCGCAGAGGAGGAGTCTGATACAGAGGGGCCCGACAACTCGCTGGACGAGGTTGCCGACGAGCCGGAGGAGGCACAGGACCCGGAGGGTGGCGGGGCGGCGGCCTGTGAGGACGAGGTGTCCCGCTCCACCGCCGACCTACTGGAGAAGGTCGGCCAGTTCCTGAGCCGGACGCGCCGCGGCAGCGTGCCCGGCCGACCCGCCGCGGCGCCGCCGCCGGCCGAACCGGCCTCGTCGGACTCGGAGACGGACGAGGCGGCCGAGGCGGACCGGCTCAGCGGCACCTCGGCCGGCTGCAAGCTGATCAGCCTGCTGCCCAGCCGGATGGTGCACCTCCGCAGGGAGCGCGAGCAGCTCACCGAGCACATCGCCCGCCTGCAGGCGCAAAACGAGCGCATCGAACAGAAGCTGGCGCGGATGCGCACCGAGCGCCGGGAGCAGCGGCGCCGCGGCCGAGAGGACAGCACGGCGAAGGAGCACCTGGAGAGGCGGGTCCAGCAGCTGGAGCGACAGCTCAGACTGCAGGTGACCATTTCGACAATTACCTCTGACAGATTACAGATTACATGAAAACTTGAAGTACTACACTTAAAGTTAGATAATAATTATGTGACGCTAAAACAATATTTTTAGCATCTACTTGTTCCGACTCATTACGCTTCGCTCTGCACCGTTAACCCTGTCCTGTTGCGCTCTGTTTCAGCTGGCTGAGAAATACGCTGTGACCGCACCCCCGCCTACCGAGCCTGACCGGCAGCCGTCCAGCAGCAGCAGTGCCCAGCAGGAGGGTGGGAGTCTCACCGACGCGACAGAACCCGGGGAGCCCGGAGAGCTGCTCGACAACTTCCCGGCGCTCCAGCCTACCGACCAGCCTGATGCTGGGTCCGTAGACCTGCACCGGGCGGCAGACGGACTACTGGAAAACTCATCACAGCAGGGCTCATCCACACTTCTCAGCAGCCCCACGGCAGAGATACCCGGTCCCGGAGCCTCGTTTATGCTTCTGCAGCCCGATCTTCAGCATGCACATCACACGTCACTAGAACAGAGCACTTCCATAATTCATCAACCCGAAGCTACCGAGATGGCTGCCGATGCGCAGCGACCGACGGAACGTCAGCAGGAGGCTGGGTCCCAGGTACAGGAGGATGAAGCCACTCCTCAGACTCAGCCGAGTCCTTCTCAGGTCAGTACTGGGAAAAGGAAAAAGGGATGTGCAGAACTTGTCTTGAGTCATTACCTAGCTATGTGAGCCATGAGCTGTACCTAACTCATGACGATGACACAGGTGCATTCCTTATCAACAAGACAAGGGACTTTCTACAACAGAGAAACGTGTGTTCTGAATCTGATGTGGGTCGTCGAACTAATCAAAGTTCTGCTTTTCCAGGTCAACATTACATCCCAAAGTCATTCCGATAGGGAAGCTCAGGTAGTCGTGTGTGAAGAAACAGTTCTCCGCGAATTACGAACTGATACTGCCAGTCAGAGCTGTGACTCAACAGAGCCCCGCCGGGGACGAGATGACGTCGCCACACAGACTGATGACGTATCTGAACCAGTCGCCATCACCGCCTGTATCAGTACGGTCACCGAGAGCACCGTCACATCACCGGTCACACTCGACTCTCAGACGACCACGGGATCTGCGCCGCGTCTGCCGCCCGCTGGGAGCCCTGTCACCGAGTCAGGATCTGCGCCGCGTCTGCCGCCCGCTGGGGACTCGACCACCGGGTCAGGATCTGAGCCGCGTCTGCCGCCCGCTGAGAACTCGACCACAGAGTCAGGATCTGCGCCGCGTCTGCCGCCCGCTGGGAGTCCTGTCACCGAGACAGAGCCTGAGCCGCGTCTGCCGCCCGCTGAGAACTCGACCACCGGGTCAGGATCTGAGCCGCGTCTGCCGCCCGCTGGGAGCCATGTCACCGAGTCAGGATCTGAGCCGCGTCTGCCGCCCGCTGGGAGCCGTGTCACCGAGACAGAGCCTGAGCCGGCCGCTGGGGACTCGACAGACCGTCAGTCGCCTAAGGGCTTCCTAGGACCCGCGGCGGGCGGCGCTGACAGTCCCCCAGCGGCGGGCGGCGCTGACAGTCCCCCAGCGGCGGGCGGCGCTGGCCACCGACCGCCGGACCAGCCGCTGGCCCAGCTTCACAAACAGCTGGCTGACGCCAGGGGACAGCTGCGCTCCGTCCAGGACGACTGCCGCCGGGCCAGGCATGCGCTACAGCAGGTCAGTCTGACAGATGCCCACAAATGGAACGCAATCCTTTATAACGGGACTGCTAATAAAATATAACTTCACTTTTGAGTTATGAACCAGCAGCCGGTGCTAAATACCAAGTTAGATGAAATGGGCTATACAATTAAGATGTTGCGTTAAAAATTCTTGCAACAGCAAATTGTTCTTCTTCAGATGCGTGCACCCTCGGAGTACGGAGGTGCCGCTGAAGTGGCGACTGCCTCTGGTCAGGAAACAGCAGCAGTTTGCCAGAGCGGCTCGGCGGCCCCTACCGCTGTCATCGCCCAGAATAGCTGTCTGTGTTCCACACCGCGCGTCACCTACGGCGAGTTCAGACGGTGAGACGAGAGCGACGACCGTACTGCACTGCTGCATAATTATCCGACTGGACTTGAACGCAGTGAAAATACGCTTCGTTTGACCGTAGTTTGGTGTAGGTAAAGTACATTCACAGTCCATCATATCCAGATCTAAGTATACTATAATACATGATCGAACGGCTGTCCAGTGACATCGACGCCGACGTTAATTCAAGACTACCAGAAGTTCATCAGGCTCCCTGCTCCCTTTTTCAGACGTCTAAGTGAACGACTACACAACCGTCCTGCCGCAACGCGCACAATTCGTCAGAAGTCTGGCTCTATCTTCAAGCGGTCCGTCAAGTGCTACATGTGCCAGGTCAGTTGTTCTACCGGTGACAGAAGCGACATCAATCAGTGATGTATCAAAATATGCTCATTTCATGCCCAATGGGTCGATCAAATATGCATATCGTTTAGAGACGCTCTCTATCCGCGGCCGTCGTACTGCAGACCATGGAGCCAGCTTAACGCCTCCCCTTCTCGGCCCCGGCCCGCAGAGCGCCCTGCGACCGCTGCTGGCCCGGCGCGTCACCTGCCGCGCCTGTGGCCAGCTCTTCTGCCGACGCTGCGCGTGCCTGGCCGTCCGCCTGCCCGCCACCGGGTGCGTACCTCGTCTGGACCAGTGCGGCTGCATAATGAGACGCTGCTGTGTGGCGGTGTTCAGTGGTGGTGATGAACGGCAGCTAGCCGTAACGCGCAACGGCAGCGGCCGCATCCAGTCTGCAGGGTTAGGCTGTACCGCAATGCCTGGCGCCCGTCCCTCTCCATAGATGGCAGCACTAAAAACGCCTGAAGTCATGCTGTGCCGCAATGACCGACGGACCCCTCGCTGTTTTTCGCGTCTCTTCTCCTTCGCAGTTCACGATGCAACCCTGTGCGGACTTTTTCAACGGCGTCAACGCAGCGGACGCAAACTAAAATGACTATTCCCACATTTACACACACTTAACGTCATAGGCAATAGGTACGGAAGCCCTTTTGTCCAACGCAAAGAATGGCGAGGCAACCGATACATTCCCAATGGTGGACGCCGTGTTTCTGCACGGTGTGTTTCTGCATTGACATGCGTCTTACTTTCAGGGAAATGCGGTTTTGCGTTCACTGTTTCTACGACTTATCGGCAAGCATGTCTTCGCTGCATCCCGACAAAACAAATCACGGTAGGTATGCATTTAAGCTAAGTCCATCGCGCATCATAACCCAGTGCACTATCAGTCAGCACAGGAGCAGCAGAGGCAGACAATGAATAAAAGAGAAAGAAAAATGATACGAAGGACAATGCAGCTTTTCCCATACGCTTTAAATTCTATTAGTGAGCTGTAAGCATTTTATACGATTTTTACCTCACTGTCTTGTGTTCAGTATGATGACTTTATCCAGCTCAGCACTCAGCAGCGTTTGACATATCCCCACCGCTTCCCGTACTTTGACAGAAACGTCCAGGACAACGGGCGGCGAGTCTGTCGATAGCGAGGGCGGCCGAGCCGGCGGCCAGCGCACCTGACGTTCGACAGACACCTTCGGACCCTGGGCTCGCTTCTTTTGTATAATTTCGAGCGTCAGTCACGAGACGCACCGCTGGCGGTGACTATGTGCCGCTCTGCTAACTGCCGTGACAGCAGGCCGCTGTGACCCACCTACCGGTGGATTGGTGTCCAGATTGATAGCCCACCAGCTCATATCGCTCCCAACTGCCAGCGCCACTGCCCCAACTCGTGGTGTTTCTCAGAGGAAACTGGCGAGTGGAGATCATCACAAACAGTTGACACAAAGCCGCTAAAACGAAACTGTATGTAGAATTAGATACGTCGCGAGGTTCTCAATGTTTGCTAGCAAATTAGCCAAAGGGAACGACTTCTTCAACATGCATGCACAAGAGATCATTAATGGAATTACTACGAGACCATCCTTTACTGGTAGATCCGCCACGACAAAACAGCTGACCTCTATGTACAGTCGTAGCTTAATCAAATACCGTCTGGCCGGCAGTCACATTCAGCCCAGTTATAATCAGAGTCTCTAAAGCGTTACTTTAAACTAGACTTACGATTGCCAGAAAAGGTGGCAACAGGAAAACGGTACAATTAAAACTTCTGCCTACTTCATCTATCTCAGACGCTTGTCTTCATAGCTGGCACGGATCCAGAGAACAGTTTTAATCATCGTTTTTACTGGCAAGCATATCACATACAGAGCTTTCGTTGCCATTTTTGAGCGTTCTTACAGAAGCAGTCATAGGTCAAAGCGTGCTTACTTCAGTGGGCTTCTTGAAGGCCATTGTCAATGAAGCGTCATGCAGAAAGTCGCGCCCCGATGAGATGTCTGTCGTATAGCGTATAGTGTATCGCGTGAAGGTGGTTTGGACTTTGGAGCGCCCGATTTGTGTTCAGCCGTGGCGTACTGTGCTTTACAACAGCTCGTGCAACTGCACTCGTGTCATTTTGTGCTGTGGGTTGACATCGAGCACACCGTTATCGTATCCACTGTTTCTGCGTCGGAGAGTTTAGTCTGTACTAAATCCTGTCACCCATTGTTCGCAGTGCAACGTGTATTTCCCCGTGTATTGTTTTGCAATAAATAAAAATGCATTATGTTGTGCAGCAGTAATTTTATGAACCGTGACAAAAAGAATGCTTCCCAATCCCCTTCATTCGGTGTATTGAAAACACACCACGATGACATGGTGAATGCGTCAAACTATCCACCGACAGGACGGATAACCAATCCCCGGTGGCCCCCGCCGCCCGCCCGCCCGACCTAGTGGTCGTCGCGGCTGGCCGCTGCGGCCGCCACACTGGCCAGCGGACTGTCGGAGAGCGGCTGCACGCGCAGCACCTCCACCACCCGGCGCGAGGCGTCGAACCAGCAGGTGACGTGGCTGGCGTCCAGCGCCAGGTGGTAGAGCAGCTGGTCGTCCTGAGCGCGCCGGTAGACGGAGCGCGGGTCGGCCGTCAGCAGGGCGACCAGCGCGGCGCGCAGCTCGGCCGCGCTGCGCAGGCACAGCAGCCGGTGCGCGCCGGCCGACTCGGAGGCCGAGAAGCGGCGCAGCTGGGACTCGGCCCAGGCCGTGAAGCCGACCGTCCACCGCTCGGGCTGCAGGCGCGACAGCCAGGTGTCGCCGCCCCGGCTGTCGGCCGGCTCAGGGGCGGCGGGGCAGTCCTCTGCAGACGCGTGACTACCAGCCGGTGATTGACTGGCTACACTCTGGTCTGCCGTGATGTCAGGAGGCTGGGGCTGAGCTGGATTTGGGCTCCTCGACTGTGCCATGCTCTTCACTGACTGGAGAACAGTGTGGGGCTCACACCGGCTGTCCTCAGGTCCGACCTCAGTTACGGCATCCGCATCAGCAACACCATCGCCAGACGGTGACAACAGGCCATCCATAGTTTTGGAGAGGTCAGAGGTGTCGTCTCCTTCGTCTTCGAGTGCCTGTTCATCGGGCGGCGCTACACCGGCCAGCGGTGCCGACCCGTCACCGGCTGCTGGCGCGGCGGCCCCGGCCGACGGAGGGCGCTCGGCTGGGGACGCGGCACCTCCCGGCCCGTCCGGCGGACAGTCGTACTCCCTGATGTACGGCTTGATGTCGAGCACTGGGGTGCCGTCCACCAGGTCGTGACCGGAGAAGTGAAGCGTGTCGCCTAAAACGAGAAACATTACTGTCGATCAGTCCTCACTCAGGCGCGAATAATTCACCGAGATGCACAGCACATGTGTGGTAAGGTGCGCAGACGTGATTGGTATTCTATTCTGGGCAATAAGAACGGGGCAGGAACAGCAATGGAGTGACCGCGACACATGGTAGGTGTTTTTCTATTAAAAAAAAACGCTCGAAAGCTACGTTATAGGTTCCTAAAAAAAGAATATCAGTTGTTGTACACTTAATATTAAAAAAAAACGTTGGGTTTTGGCTCAATTTCCTCCCAATGTACTATGAAGCAAAATTTAGGTAATACACATACTACCTATGTTAATACTAGATAGCAATTATTTTTCCAGAAGCAAAGCACCTACCTTCCACAGACTCGAGTTTCACAAGACTAAGCCCTATGGGGTTCAGTCTGTATGGTGATCTTGTTGCAAACACTCCAATTCTGCCACCATTTAATCTGGGAGGCGATACCTTGGCTTTTGAGAACCTCCCGGACTTGTTCTTATGAAAAAGAAATATGAGCCTGAAAGAAAAGTAGTTCAAACATGATAATCGCACACTGTTCCTGAACACATCTTAGGATTTATTCTAAACACCAAATAATTTAACCCTCGCCCATGTAGGGGGGGGGGGGTTGGTGCAACCCCCCCTGAGGTTTTTCTTAGCTACACACCGAACCGTTTCAGATAGCCTGCTCAAATTTATAGTACCCTCTGGGGCATCCTTTGCGCAACTTTTGTTTTTTTTTGTCAAGGTCATGTCAGGTCACGGAGTTATGACGTCATAAAGGGAACAACCTCCGGCCAGATTTACGCTAAATTGGAGATTGCTTCTCACTGGTATAAATGCCGACTGACCTGACACACTGATGGATTGTTTTAGAATCACAACTGGCTGATTTGACATTGGCACAATGTCCGTTGACATTTTGAAGGTTACTAAAGGTCAAGGTAAGGTCAGTGACCTCGGTTGACCTGTAATGACTTCTTGCACTTGTATGCCTTTTCGGGGTATTTTGATGCCCTGAATTCGAATTTGCTATCCATTTCAGGCATCGTCGGTTGTTTCTTGTAGTTCATTTTGGGTCAGGGTCAGGTCAGTGACGTCACATGCCTGACGTGACCCAATGCACAAATGACCTTGCAGACCTCCGATGCTCCCAACGCATCATTTTTAGAGTTATGACATCGAAATACACACCAAACGATAGAGAATTGATCAAGGATCACGATAGTGAAGGTTTCAAGTCGATATCTCTTACCGTTTTGCCGCAATCGGCGCGGAAATATGAAAAAGTTAGATTTTTACGAAAATTTGACCTTTGACCGGTCATAAGTAGGTCAAATGTTGACCTAGGACCAAAAAATATACCACCAATCGCGAGATCTCGTTGAGAGCAATCCGTTGGTCTTTTCCGCTAAGCTCTACGACGCTCCGTTTTCAAGTTTTCAAACGCCAGGGGGGAGGGGGTCGCACCAACCTCCCCCCCTGCATGGGCGAAGGTGGCAAAACACCGTTTACGGGCGAGGGTTAAACGTCTCAGCGAATGTAATAAGACCATGATTTTATTATTTCGAAGCAAAATTTTAACTGATAAAACTCTAACGAACGTTCGCTTTTATGGAGGGGAGAAAATTTACTAAGCCCGTAAGCTTTCTCTAAAAAATGGTATGTCTTCAAAAATGTACGAGCAGCACCACCCTTTTACGAACATCAGGAGTGTGCCGCAGCTGATCAAGGTTTCCAGACGCGTCGAGCGCCCCGTCATACGAGTGTTTTCGAGTGTGTTCGTCCCAGCGCCACGGAAAAGTAATCATATACGGCAGATCATTTCAAGAGCATGAATAAATCTGGCAAGAGACGATCAAAGGAAATGAGTAGTCAAAAAGTGAAATCAAGAGAAAGACATTGTTTGTCAGCTGGCCAGTGTTAACAGTATTGATGATTCACGTGCGCCTTTCATTTAAAAGTAAAACTTAAAAACGGTAAAAAAGCAGCCCGAGAAAATGAGAAGGTTTGGAATAGGAGACGGAATGCCTATCAACTAGCATCTGAAAGTGATATATCCAACACGATCAAACTGAACATTTTAAGAGACTTACCACACATAGCTGAAATCTCGAAGTCCTTCCAATGCATGTTCTGGATTGTTGTATATGCCTTTCCTGATCTTCAACTGCCCTCGAGCGCTAGAAGCGATGGTCGGTTGCCTTGGTGTGCCATTTTTGCACAAAAAACAGCTTCGAACAGTGCCGATAGGTTGCAGGTCCAACTCCCACTCCATCACTGACCACTACCCAGTATTCAACAGAAATTATTCTGTAGATAGATGAGCGACATATCACAGTAAGTGGGGATCAAACACACACAATGCGCATGGATCTGAAAAAAGGGGTCCGGGATATGGTTTCACAGGCCTACAGCAAATAAGTACAACCGTTGTTCTATATACTCTGGTATAGTCGACTACAGAATGATGTTCTACTCCAAAAGCTATCAGTTGACCGGAGCGCTAAGTTGTGCCGTTAATCACGCAATTAAGCGTGTCGATTGTGAGCATTGGGACAAAGCTATACCTAATTTGTGAACTCAGCCCGTGTGATGCGGCACAGCCTACCACTCCAGGCAAATAATTGCCTGTGAAAAGTGGAACATCATTCTGTAGTCGACTATACAGCCCGCGCCCTGCCGGGAAGCATGTGTATTTGAGCGATTCCCTTGCAGTTTCCCGCAAATACTTATCATCTAAGTTATCTCCAAAAACAGTGGCGCTCCGCGGGGCCGTTTTTACGTCAAGTGGCCCAGTCTTCGGAAGTTACATACCTACTCGTCATTGCTACACCAGCTCGAGCGTGTGCGCTGTTACGAGACGCAGCGACTGGTACCCGATTTTGAGGTCTCATGTCAACCGGTGACCTCTGAGACGGTGACCTCCGAGGTCAGGTCCAGTGACCCAACGCACGGGTTCAATTTTTCATAAATACCTTCGCAAAAAAAAAAAAAACAGTCGCAGAGCCGTGATTTTAGCATCATCGTGTTCGCCTTCCTGAGGCACGTCGAATGGTATATTTTTTGTTCTGGTAAGGTTAACTTGAGGTGTTGACCCCGGGTCTAGGTCAGGTCAGTGCCCCCAGATCACGAAGCTGGTCGAAGGAGGTCACGTCATATATCATTCGATTCGGCAGGTCTTCCTGAGTCAATCGGCGGCCTCCCCGACTCGCTAGCTCAATTTGATCGGAAGTTATTGACGAAAAACTTATGACCCAGTGAAGCATCGGACCTTGCAAGGAGTACATAAAATCACGATTCCGTGCGCCTGGAATAGCTTGAGATCGCTCCCAGCGTAAAATAGCAGTTTTCATTTTTACCAATAACATAATGGTGAGGTCACGTGACCGACGTGACCTCATGTGACCTTTAGGAAAAATCCTAGATATACAAATTATGAGACCTCAGGAGGATACTATATCCTGTAAGTTTCATCACCCCGTGAAAGTTCCCCTGGCACTGAGGGCGTTGCAAAGTTGCGACATCTGAGGACCGTACAAATGTTCACTTATGACGTCATAGGTCAGTGACCTGACTTGACCTGAAAATACGGTTGGTGTCACAAGGTCCAGCTTGAATTAAAGATCAGGTATACCATGTTTCAGCTCTCTACCTGCTAAATCGAACGATATGCGACAAGACCTTATTCAAACAACTTCGTGACCTGAGAGGTCTGACCCGACCTTGAGACGTGGTCAACACCTTAAATTGACCTCACCCGAACAAAAAGTATACCACTCGACGCGCCTGAGCTAGGCGAACACGCTGATGCCAAAATCGCGGCTCTGTTGCCGTTTTTGGTGAAGTTATTTACCAAAAACTGAACCTGTGCCTTAGGTCACTTGAACTGACCTCAGACGTCACCGGTTGACCTGAGACCTTTAAAGTGGATTCCTAACAGTCACTCTTCCTTGTAACGGCGCATACGACCACTTTACCGCGAAATTCTAGCTGAGTTAGCGGCGCGTTGGGGAAGTGGTTTCAATCAACCTCATCGACCGGGGCGAATGGAGAAAGACGATGGTCCGGCGAGTGATTAACGTTTAAGTTCCCTGTATCTGAGGATTTTTGAAGATTTGATTGTGTTCTACGCTCAATTCTGCGTAAGATACCGGGTTCCGTGTCTACGTAGCTTGAACGTAACGGATGCGGTGGTCGCAAACGTAAATCGAGGTCCCGGATTCCCTATTCCCCAACACAGGCGGCGGCCGGTTCCCGGTCTGCGCAACATGGCGGCACCGTTGGACACCATCTGGCGGCCGATGCGCCTTCCAAATGGTAGAGTTCAGTGAAACCACCACGTTTTACGGACGGTTTAGTACCTATAAGATTTAAAAATAGTTAGATCTGCGCTGACGTCACAAATTCTAAGGGGACATTCAAACGCATTAGCCCCTTAGAATCTGATAACTGCAAGTTTGAAATAAAATATCTCAGAATTAAAGCAATTTTCGATGTTGTGAGTGCCCAAACCGGCAAGTGCAAGCTAGGGACCCCAATTCGGCTATCTCAGCTCAAAACTAATGTTAAGGTGGGATGGCCACTTTAAGGATTTCCCCAGTTACGCTGTAACAAAGCATATCATTACCAGCGAGCGAGCGAGCGCAGCGAGCGAAGCGAAGTCTTTTCAATCAGTAGCGTATCTAGGATTTCTTCCAGGGGGGTCAGCAGTCAAAAGGGCCCTTGACTGACTGGGTTGAAAGGGCCCTGAGTGTCAAAAGGGCCCTTGAAGCCTGAGTTGAAAGGGCGTTAACCCGCGCCCTGCTGGGGGGATCGATTATATCGCTGTTAAAACTTTCAGCAATCGATGAGGACAACAGTAACTCTGTTAAAATGCATATCTCGGAATTTTGATAGTGTTGAGCTAAGGTCAGGTCAGTTTTGAGAAATCTCCATTAAGCCAATGGGAGAAAATTGAAAGGCGCCTTTCTTGCATGAACGCTGTTCTTAACACTCTTAAACACCCAGTTACATGAGCAACCATGTCACGATGAAGCGGAATATGGCACCTGTGATCTCCGTTTATGTCCCTGAGGTCATTTCAGGTCACAGAAGATCTGACGGCTTTTCGCTAATGGCTTTTGATCAAGGCACGCTAGAGCGATGAAAACACCTTAGAAGTGCTCAGTTCGACGATACGGATCGACTGATACCTATATAGCACGACCTTTTCCGGTCAGGTTATGACCTTGATCAGAGGTTCAATTTTCAAGTTGACCTTTCTTGGTCAAATTACTGCTCATTTGACGGGACACGATAAGAGGAGCACGATGCCGGTAAAAGTTTGGCCGTGCAAGTTCTGAATCACACGTTATTGCAGCAAAAACTTTCCGCAAAAACAACGTCTATTTTGGCAGTTCTTGCCTCCTGCAGGCTGAACTGTTGACCCTAGGTCAAATCTGAGCACAGTTTACAGAAAGAGTGTCAAAAGAGCTTTGTTTGTTTTGTTGGGCTATGCCATTTCGGTCTGACGAGACCATTTCAGGGCCGGAAAGGATTATAGTAATTGAGGGGAGACATTGGTCTGGGCGGGCACCTTGGTGATTTACCGGGGCTGAGCCCGTCCAACAGGACAGGCCGACTAGCCCCCCCCCCCCCAGTCCCAATGCACCCGGCTACGGGTGTGCTCCCTTAGGAGCTGCGGTGCGCTCCAATGGGAGCCGCCCGCATGGAATAAAGTTACCCGTCCAGCCCGGCAGGGTTGTGCTCGACTCAAAAAAATTTGCCGACTCGACTCATCATTCAACTTCAGAAAGCCCTGACTCAACTCTGACTCAAACAAGGAGCTGATTTTTTCCCGTGACTCGACTCATGACTCAAGCGGCTCAATGAAAATCTGAGTCGACTCAAACTTGACTCAAATTTTTTGTTGAGTCAAGTAAGTTGACTCAAAATTGACTCAGATAAAAAAGTTGTTGAGCAGGGGCGGGGGGAGGTTGGTTGGAAATATATATGGGTATATATATATATATATATATATATATATATATATATATATATATATATATATATATATATATATATATATATATATATATATATATATATCATAGGCGTAGGAACGTTTTCGAAAGTGGGGGGGCCAGGCTCCCAGAGGTCTAAAACCTAACCCACCCCCAAAATCCAATTTCTCCTCGGATTTCGGCCACTTTGTTTTCGCAAACATGCTCAGAGGTAAAAAAAATCGAGACAAAACCAAAAATAAAAGAAGTTAAATTTCAGGGAGAGTCCCGTCCATAAACTCAAACTGATTGACGCGTTCCCCTGTCCTCCGCAGCCGTTGGCACCCATGCAAATTCCAGAGGCATCCGGCAGCTTTTTCATTAAGAGCAAGCGTGAAATGTGCAAAACGAGTCTTTTCAATATACCTACCAGTATAGCGCCTTTGGGGGCGACTAACGGAGCAAGCGAGAGGGTGAGCCTTGCACGTGCGAAATTTCGGAGGTATCTCTAACTGACTTGTGCACGGCACCCTACTAACCGGTCTCTAGCGATGTGCCAAATTTGAGCACAATCGGCCCAGCCGTTCTCGAGATCTAGAAGCGGCACCCTGCACGTGCGCACGTGCAGAATGGGTCCCAACTGACTTGTGCACGGCACCCTACTAACTGGTCCCTAACCGTGTACCAAATTTGAGCGCCATCGGTCCAGCCGTTCTCGAGATCTGGAAACGACCCCTGCACGTGCGCACGTGCAGCAGCACCCCAACTCTGGCACATGGATATGCAGTGCCTAGTGGGTGCCTACCTACATGCCAACTTTCAGCGCAATCGGCCAAGTAGTTACCGAGATATTGCAACAATTACAAAACTGACACCTCTTCGTTTTGCGCGTGGCACGTGCATAAGGGGTCACCCACATGCATCGGGAATAGTCCAATACTTGGTAGAAGGAATCAAGCTACCCTACAAAAATTACCCCGTATAAATCGGTCAAGTGGTTGCTGAGATATAAGCCTCGCAAAAGCGTCCGCACGGCCGGCCGCTCATACTCAGAAATTTCCGTTAATCTAAGGAAAGACTACGCTCGCTTCGCTCGCTCCGTAATAAAAATCAGCATGAACGGCCCAGCTAGGCTCAGCCAGGCCTGTAGCGTTTTTAAAGGGACCCTCCCATCTTCAAAAAAGTTAATGAATTGGCATGAAAGTGATGTCGCTCGGCTCAGAAAGAGCAAAAACGAATATCTACCAAATTTCATCGAAAAATATTCACCGGTTTTCAAGATATTAGACTTTTACTTTTGTTTACTTTTTGGGATCTCCGCTGTTCCTA